ATTACTGGGACAGCTCTTCAGGACGTCCTCTATCCTCCCAGTGCCTCTCACACTGGTTGTGTGAGGCTATTTCTGAAGCTTACAGTTCATCTGGACTGGATCTTCCAGAGAATCTCAGCGCATTCCACCAGAGGGTTTTCATCCTCAATGGCTCTGCATGGAGGGATGACAGTGGAGGATATTTTGTATGGCAGCTGCCTGGTCATCGCCATGTTCAATTATTTGTTTTTATCTACGTGATGTTTCCACTTTCTCCATGACCCATTCTGTTCTCAGGGTTCTGACAGAATGATTTGTTTCATGGAGCCTCACTTTTAAACTCACAGCTGCCTGCATGCAGTCGCAGTATGAGATATTTATTATCAGTCACAAGTTCATGACTGCTGACTTTATTGTTATTAACTGGTTCATCCTGAAGAGCTGTTGGTCTGCTCTGTTTATTGTTACACTGTTACAGTTTGTATCCTCCCTTGATCCTATTCACAGCAGCAGGTCTGCTATTGCAGCCTTTTTTTTTTCCTCACCAGAGATCTTCTTCGGTGCACTCCTGCGCATGGAGCACGCAATTACGCAATGCGTAATTTCGTGCACAGAAGGCTGAGTGATGAAACTTTTTTTGTGCAAGCAGGTGCTTCATGTTGTGTCTGAATGGACCCAGTGAGGCATAGACTACATCCTGCTTCGCCTTTAACCCACTAGCGACAGCTTTAAAGGGTGAAGCCTATACGAAATAGAACGTTGGTTACGTACTGTAACCCCAGATTCTATGAGTATAGGCGTAGCTCTTTAAGCTCTGGGCCTCACTGGTTCCTAAATGGCTGAAGAAAAAAGCTACTTGGGAGCCGATTACCCGGTCTCACCGTAATTTATACGGTCCGGGGGTGAGGCCCACACAGCAGGTGGGCGTGGACTAAAGTTTTCAGTGTTGCGTGCGTAGGGATAAACCCACTAGTGGCAGTCTTAAAGAGCTACGCCTATACTCATAGAATCTGGGGTTATAGTACGTAACCAACGTTTCCTGTAAATGAGCTATAACTTCCAGAACTTGTAACAAGGTGATCAGCTGACCCTGAAGCTTGTGGTGTTACTTCTTCCTCTCTTCCTGTAGGAATTATTCATTTCTCTGATGCTATGTCTTTCATCACCTGACTCTGTCCTTGGTCCATGGACTGTGGAACTAAGAGACAGACCTGTGCGTGTTTGAGACGCAGTCCACACCGGCAGCTCAGAGCGGGATGGGGAGAGAAAAAAAAAAAAAGACAAGTGGCAGCTTAGAGCGGGGGGGAAGGAAGAGACAGTCTGTACTTGCAGTTTAGAGCTGGATGGAGAGACGGCTGAACCGCGCTTTGTTTGTTTTTAGCTTTATAGCTAGCTAGTATTGCGCACAGCTAATTAGTAGGGATGGGGCCGATCCAGTATCGGTATCGGGCTCCGATACCAGCATAAATTACGTATCGGATTTTTTTGATCCAACCTACCAATATTTCCGTTCCATGATGCATGTCTCTGGTTGCACTGCACGTTGGCTTCAAACTATGGAATGGATTTCTTGAACGGAGGCGTGTCTCATGAACCCATAGTAATAAGACCCGCCTCACATTCAGGATATCCATTTCATAGTTTGCAGCCAGCTACAACGTGCAGCAACACTTTGGCTAATGGCTAACAAACTTTTCATTGATACATGTCCGCTGTGTTTTACACTAGAAACACCACAAAGCAAGACAGCAATGTGCAATGTCTGCAGAGCCATAGCACCGCATTAAACCGCAGTAAAGTTTTACGTTGGACATTCGAGCTCCGTGGTTTCAGCGGTCTGTTATTTTCGTTCAGTCTGGAGAAGGCAGTCTGATTTCGGTCAGCCACGCTCGGTCTGACCCGCTCAATCTGTCCGTGTCGGAGGAGGGGCAGACTGAGCGTGGCTGAACGAAATCAGATTGACTTCTCCGGACTGAACAAAAATAAAAGACCGCTGAAGCCCCGGAGCTCGAATGTTTACCGAGAAGTTGCTAAACTTCATCATAATAAATGGCCAACTGCTATCCGTTGTAGAAAACAAAGGATTTCGCAGCTTGATACTTGCAGCCAAGATATAGTTTACCCTCCAGGAGATATTTATCAGTACAACAGTAGACAATCATAAAAAGCATATAAATTGAAAATTACAATAAAATTATATTTAAAACAAAACAAAACAAAAACAACTACATTATAAAGCGATTTAAAATACTAAAAACAAGCATGTTTGTATTTATGCCATGAACTTAGCAGATGTTTAAAGCCATCTAATCACTTTAATATCCACTTTAAAGCTAGGAATAAAAAAAACATGTTTTGTGTTAGCAGGATTTAATTCTAATTTTGAAACTTATCCAACATTAATAAAACTTACCTCATGTGGCCTGTTTGGACATATGCATATATTTGTACAAATTGTACTTGCATGTAGAGAGGAGATTATTACTGCCTCATAAAATCAATAATGATGATGATATCGGAACAGGATCGATATCGTCTGATATCCAGATCAAGGTATCGGGATCGGATCAGAAGTTACAAAATGCGGATCGTTGCGTCCTTACCAATTAGCGTTACACCAGTACCGACAGGTGGAGGGGGGGTGCGCAGTTCTGTTTGGTTGTTCGGCGCGCACGGTTCTGTTAAAGGGGCGGGGCCACCTGACGTATTACGTCATGAAATTATCAAATCATGATATCATTTTTTTGCCCGGGCAAGCTTTTTTTTACTGGTATTATCGTGAGCGATATGATATGACCCACCCCTAGCTGAAACACGCTTAGGAACTTTAGTTCTGCAGCACATAATCTCATGTTAATAAATTTTAATTAATGAAAAATTAATTGAAACGGTACGCACATGGACCAAACCGAACATGCTGTACCGAAACGATTCGGTACACCCACGTGTACCGTTACACCACTAGTATTTGAACACCTGTGAAAATCAATGTTAATATTTGGTACATTAGCCTACTACAAATGTCAAAAGTTTCCTGTAGTTTTTCATCAGGCGTGCACACACTGCAGCAGGAATTTTGGCCTATTCCTCCACACAGATCTTCTCTAGATCAGCCAGGTTTCTGGGCTGTCGCTGAGAAACACTGAGTTTGAGCTCCCTCCAAAGATTTTCTATAGCGTTTAGGTCTGGAGACTGGCTAGGCCACTCCAGAACCTTGATATGCTTCTTACGGAGCCACTCCTTGGTTCTCCTGGCTGTGTGCTTCGGGTCATTTTCATGTTTGAAGACCCAGCCACGACCCATCTTCAATGCTCTAACTGAGGGAAGGAGGGTGTTCCCCAAAATCTTGCAATACATGGCCCTGGTCATCCTCTCCTTAATACAGTGCAGTCGTCCTGTTCTATGTGAAGAAAAAAAACCCAAAGCATGATGCTTCTACCCCGATGCTTCACAGTAGGGATGGTGTTTTTGGGATAGTATTCATCATTCTTCGTCCTCCAAACACGGTGAGTGGAATTAAGATCAAAAAGTTCTATTTTGGTCTCATCTGCCCACAGAACTTTCTCCCATAACTCCTCTGGATCATCCAAATGGTCATGGGCAAACTTCAGATGGGCCTGGACGTGCGCTGATTTAAGCAGGGGAACCTTCTGTGCCGTGCATGATTTTAAACTATGACCTCTTAGTGTATTACCCACAGTAACCTTGGAACCAGTGGTGCCAGCTCTCCTCAGGTCATTGACCAGCTCCTCCCGTGTAGTTCTGGGCTGATTCCTCACCTTTCTTAGGATCATTGATATGCCACGAGGTGAGATCTTGCATGGAGCCCCAGTCTGAGGGAGATTGAAAGTCATGTTTAACTTCTTCCATTTTCTAGTAATTGCTCCAACAGTTGATATTTTTTCACCAAGCTGCTTGGCAATTGCTCCGTAGCCCTTTTCAGCTTTGTGGAGGTCTACAATTTTGTCTTTGGTGTCTTTGGACAGCTCTTTGGTCTTAACCATGTTAATAGTTGGAGTCTTACTGATTGTGTGGGGTGGACAGGTGTCTTTATGCAGCTAACGACCTCAAACAGGTGCTTCTAATTTAGAATAATAAGTGGAGTGGAGGTGGACTTTTTAGAGGCAGACAACAGGTCTTTGAGGGCCATAATTGTTGTTGATTGGCAGGTGTTCAATTACTTACTTGCAGCAGTAACACACAAATAAATTATTAAAAAATCATACATTGTGATTTCTGGATTTTTTAAATTAAGATTATGTCTCTCACAGTGGACATGCACCTAAGATGAAAATTTCAGACCCCTCCATGATTTCTATGTGGGAGAACTTGCAAAGTCGCATGTTGTTCAAATACTTATTTTCCTCACTGTGTATATATATATATATATATATATATATATATATATATATATAAATAATATATATATATACATATATATACATATATATACATATATATACATATATATAATATATATACATATATACATATAATATTAATTTTGTAGCTGTATCCAGTAAAACAAGTTTTAATCCAATTTGGGAACTATGATCTTTATTTTTGTAACATTGCTACACACAGTGCCACAGGTTGCATGCCCCTGACTTAAAGAAACTTGAACATGATGTGCACCTAAAGGAATCATTTATAGAGTCCAAATGGGAATTTACAGTGTTTACAGAGGCAACACGTCAGGAAGTAGCTTAGGAAAGCAACTATAAAATGATATCCATGTGGAGAAGATATGTTAATGTTTTGAACACAAGACTAATAATCACCTGCAGATCCAATTGTTTTGGTACTGTTTGAAGTGTACAGTGAGTCCGCAGTTTGTGCTCTGTGTACTTGACCTTGTCTTATGACCCACTGTGTGATGCATCAGAGTATAGAGTTTGTAATAGCTGAAGAAGATCCAAACAACAATCGTCAGAGGCCAGTGAATCAGACATGACCTTGTCATATTTGTGTTCTTCCACTTAAAAGTTTTTGCTTTGACCTCATTTAAATGTCTCTTTCAGGATCAGCGATGTTGCAGTTGGAGTGAAGGTGAGTGTTTTCACCACATTTTTTTTAAATGTGTATTTATAGGCAAAAATATTTTTCTTGACCTTTGTCCGTTTGTTAAAATATCTCATGAAAAAATAGACAAGTTTGAATAAAACTCACTACCTTCTCACTAAGAGGTGGTGGGCAGCAATTTCTCCACCTACTCAAGTGTCTGGCTCTGCCTACTCTGATTTGTATTTTTTCTTTGGAATCAGTTGTTGCACCGGCGTGTGATAGTCACATGACCGGTTTCAGTCGCTGTAGCGGGAAAGACACAGTCTCTCAGAGACTCCATTTTAATTTGTCTAAATACAAACTTAAATACACACCAGGTTTTAAATTGTGTTTATGGGTAAATAAAAACCAGAGTTATGATAATTAATCCATACCACATTTTTTTTCTGAAAATTCTTGTTGTATCTGAAAGGCTGTAGTAAATCCAGGCAGTCTCAGGGACAAAACACCCCCATCACCCTCCACTTTCACCTCACACCCCCGCCAAACAGATACCCCCCCCCCCCCGACGGAGGCTCCAAGTTATTTATCAAGTGCCAAAAAATCTACAGGAAGGAAAAAAAAGGACACAGAAGTTGAATGGAGTTCAGTGATAAAGTCACAGTGAGAGCAGGAGTGAGTCATGAGGTTTGAGAGATTTGTAATATTTAGCGTGTTTGGGTTTTATAGTTAAGGCTCCCACAGACTCGGGCGGACCTCAGTCCGTGCGTAAACTGCAGGCACTGTCCGCAAATGGTTGAGACTTCATACTTGAGCATACACCCTGACTGGCTGCAGACCAGCTCCACAGGCAAGGGACGTTTACCTTCGGGACAAATTGAGTTTGCCGATTGGTCATTTGCTGGCACACCTACTGATTTGTTTACAGGTTTGAAAAAAAAAAAAAAAACGAGAGTTGGCGGCAACGGTGTTCTGTGTTTATATGTTGTTAATAACAAGTTCTAACCCC